CCAGTGCTAGAAACCTTCATGCCAGTTCGCTGTTGCATTTGCCGATCTCCGGGTGGCTGGTGCGCACCCAAAGATAGAATGATCTCTGCCGACGCGGCCATTTAATAAGTTGCCGGAAACGCTTGCCGATGTTCACAGAACGAGTGTCTAATGCCAGTGGAAATGATCATTTATATGCCTAGACGTTGAAGATAGTGGTGCATTTGTGTCTGTAGAGTTCAAATCTGATAGTTAAAAGCCGACCAGTAAAGCTGTATTAGGCAGAACAGTTGTCCCACAATCTCGTTCTCGTCCAATTTGTCGCTGTTCTGCCTTTGAGCGACCACTTCAGACTAAGATGTATTCGACATCCATCTCTTCCATCGGGCACCCTTCTGAGATGTGTGCCTCACTGCTAACTCTAATGTCCGATTTGTAAAGTATAATTTCGCGGACAACTGGAACCGTCCTCCTTTCTGAAAGAAGTGCCGTTGAATTATCTGAAAGAGAGCGATTATCTAGAGAGTTCAGATCTAGCCTCGTCATTCATTCACCAAAACATATGCCTAACGCTTGTCGTAAGCATGTGACCAACTGCACAAACGCCGGTATGGCGGGCGAGCGTCGACAGGAAATTTGTACGCTTTGCTTAATTCGGAGGCATTTCAGTCTCCGCGATTTGGTAACTGAAGGTAAGATCACCATCGCAGGGGTTAAATAAGTTAGATCATAGCAACTGCGATCTTCAGACTATGTTTATATAGTAGAGAAGAAGTCGGTAGAGGCCAGAATATTAGCAACAGTATGTTTTGTACGTATAGGAACGAAGAATAATAGGGAAGAAATTTGTCTTGGGAGAACACGACCAGCTAGAAAGCTATTCAGGTCCCAAGTGCCTCTTAGTAACAGGAATGCCAGAGGCCAGACACAGAGCGTTCATTGGCTGGGTCGGCCTTGATGGTTTTTGCTCAGACCGACAGACCACGTCGGGAACGCGTACCGGCGTGTTATTGGTTGCCGTGCTAAGGACCAGCTTTGTGGCATCTTTGATTGGCTGTTCGCAGACATCGAGAACCGCAGTAATGTGTTTCTAGCGGAGTTCACTTCGACGCGAGCTAATCACTACACCACGTCGTCTGTTGAAAATTTGGATTAGTTGTATGGATTCTACAGCCGTCGAGCCAAATAAAACTGTCATTTGCCTGAACGGTTCAGATAGTGAATTGGTGCATGGGAAAGGAGAATCAGACTGTAACCTAGGACGAAAATCCCTCCCAGTCGTATACTAGCTTATTCCCAAGTACAATAAGTTTAAGGCGCTGAAGTATACCATATCCGTGTTGGAATGTTTACTCGGAGGGCTACCAACTTACGGAAAATTGTAATTTTTAGGCCCATATGCGAGGTTGTCATGTTTTCTTCTTAATATATTCTTCGTGAAATAATGATAAAAGGTGCATTTAAACTAACATAAATGTACAGGCTTTAGCAGGCAGAATAGGAACAAAGTCATGTGAAACACAGCTTGGTCGTCGAGCTTTTTCAGATAGCACACCGATACCAATTTCCGTCATCGGAACTAGATGAGTGGGAAGGACGCATTGCATTAAATGCTGTGCAAGTTTGCCTTTCTTAAATTGAATTTATACACTAGATCCGACGCGGCAGCGATCTAATGTGAACAGTCAGATTTGTCAGATAAACTTGGCCCTTCATTTCGCCGATGAGTTTCAGTTGAGCCGCAACTGCAGTAGCATCATTTACACGTCACCGAGACTGTCAGAAGACTATAATATGCGGTCGCATTGTGAAATTTTACGGTCTCTCGAGAAATGTTGCATGGATAATGGCAGATTTTTCATTCAAATGGGGCCTAGAGTTTATTCGGACTTCAGTATGAGCTCATAGTTTACATAAAGAACATAAAACGAAAGCGTTTCATTTATTCAGACTTTCTGTGCTGGCTTTCAAGGCTAAAATATTTGAAAAATAACAAACTACCACATGTCAAACTCTTAATTATCAGCGAGAAACTCGTATAGTAGAATTAAAGTTACACGGGTTTTACAATAGACACCGCATTGCAACCAGTTAACGATTGCTTTAAAGTTTTCACATTTAAAGAAAATCCCTATAGATGAATTATGTTTGTTCAGATCCTGACGATCACGGATAACTTCAATTGATTGCTATTGGATTATTCAGACCCATTCTTATACCCTCAGCAGCCAGAACGGTTTGCGTTAGGTGGATATTGTTTTAGAGCAAGTGTCATATACCCAACCAATAATTTCTTCTTTATCAAGCAAAAGTTTCCGAACAAAGCACTCCAAAAATCGGATTTGTTGAATGATTTCTTGACTGTCGACTCCTCAGGTAATTTGTTCGAATGAGCCTCAGAAAATCTCGTGGCGCCACTTTCTAAGAAACGCAAGTAGCACGATGGAAGCTGCCAAAGCTGCTCCCCAGCCAATGATTGCCCGCGTAGGTTGACCGTGAACCCTTTCAACCGCCTCGCTTTTAAAAATGTGCACCTAATTATTTTTTCGTTTATGTCTTGATACCGTTAATGTTCGTGATCTTAGAAAACTTAAGTAGATTCTCTTTACATCACTCCACTGAAGTTGTTGACCTCCGGGTAACTCTTTCCTAAGTCAACACCAATAATATCAACGTTGTATTAAAACCTGACGTAGACTGTGAGACCTAGTGTGAGTAGAATCTGACAAGTCGGCTACCTTCACTCTTGGACGAAAGGGTCTCGTCTTGGTTTTTTGCTTGGCATTGGATATTTGCAGTATATTTGTTGACACGGGCACTAGTTACTTCAGTAGCACAGGTCAGCTAACGTGTTTCTATACAAGACACCAATAACAGTCTAAAAAGTCACGACCCACAGAGCCTTCAAATATATCACATATAGAATGTTGAAGGCTATGTGGGTCGTGACTTTTTAGACTGTCCTCGATGCATGGTATAAAACCACTTTAGTTGGCATGTGCTACTGAAGTAATTAGTGTCCATGTCAACATATAAAATGGTCATAGGAAAGCCGAACAAATAAGGATTAACCGTCGTAAAAGTGTGGCGTAGAACAGCAGGAGACACTAATCGATTGAGAAGGCAGACCCGTCCCGTTTCCCTCGGTTCGCGATGACAGCAATTTTGGGGCATCCGACCCGACAGCTTGCTAGCAAAATATAATTAAGGTAATATCGGTTGTTATTGGTACTAGCAAAGAGGTACATCAGTTAACTTTTTATTGTTTTCGCAAGCACCCGTTTTTAATGCGGACGTATGTCACTTAAATTTGTCAGGTTATGAGATTAGCAAACTTTGTTGGATTTTATCCCTTTGTGCTTTCCCTTGAAGCCCTAGATAGATTTGATTAGTGTGGAACCTTTCTTTCTCGACAGGTTACCCGCCTTCTTGGCCGCACTGGTTCTCAGGGACAGTGTACACAGGTTCGTGTGGAGATCGTGGAATCCAAGCGAAGCATCATCAGGAACGTGAAAGGCCCGGTCCGCGAAGGGGATCTACTCGTCCTCTTAGAAACCGAGAGAGAGGCCAGGAGGCTGAGATAGTGCATTGTGTAATAAATTAGGGATAATGTACTTTGTTTTTCTCTTTACAGCCGTTGCTTGGGTGGTCATTCGGAGCCTTCACTATGATAATGATTATTCAATATGACTATTCAATTTCTCGACTACACTCTCGGCAGTCCGCCTGATATCGAAGCATCCTAGTTGCATATACTCAGGTGACTCAATCTTATGAGTATATCCGTACCTATGCATGTGCTCGATGTGGATAGAAGAGGTCGCTAACTTGACCCGTTAATCCGTAAAAACGGTCAGATGACGGCGTCTCCCGCAATTGGTGGCTCTACATAAAGAAACAGTCAGTTTGAAATTCATCGGGCGAAATTATTACTAAAACGAATAGACAGTAGCGTTGTGTCCGGAATCGGTATTGTTAGTTCTTCTCATCTATATAGCCCATATGGATTAGTCGCGGCGCCTCCACCGACTCGACGATTTGCGCGTAACCTTCGTCAGTCCGGCCAATCTATACTGACTGCGACACCATCTCAGACATCTAAATTCATTGAAAACGGCCTAGGCTGCCCGGCACGAATGCTTAATGTCGAGGCCCGCGATAACTCACCTTCACCTATTTGGAGGCATCAAAAAGGGCGGCCAACTCCAAATCTGGCTCGGCACAGTTTGTGAAGACATGAATGTGGTTTTTGGACTGTCAGTATGCCG